TCGTCACCGAAAGACGGGTCAATATGATGCAGCTGTCGATTTGGGTGACAAACGCCTTACTTAGCCTTGTTTGGCTTGAAGGGTTCCGACTGTATTCAACTCTTGCAGCAGTTGTCATAGCAATTTCGCTGATGGCTACATTTGCAGTGTATATCAAAATTTAACTGATTGTGAAACGCCACAAAGCTCAAATACACGAGCAAATGGAAGCACAGAGTGAACAAAGTGAAACAAGTAGATTGAAAAAACTGAGAAGATCCGCCATAAATACATTCTACGTATTTTTTGCCTTCTTAATATGCTACTTTCCCTTTTTCGTCACTACAGCTGTAAACATGATCTTCAGCGGCGCTCCAAACCTTATTATGGTCTTGATATACGAGTTCACTGTAACACTAATGTTCTCCAACTCCTCTTTGAATCCAATCATGTACTGTTTACGGTTACGGGATTTCAGAATCGCCGTCAAGACAACTTATCGTCGCATCCTTTGTCTGGATGCTGTAAACGAATGAAATTATCCAACATTAGGTGTTTGGTACTGAGTACTCTTGTTCTTGATTTTGTTCTTGCTATTATTCGATGACTGTGCTCGACATTTAACCTATAGCACGCGTTATTTCTGATTTTGATCGAATTCTCGGAATATTTTGCCGAAGTGACATTCAAACTGTGTCACAACCACTTCATGGAAGGAAGTGGTACTATGTTTATAACTGAAATCCCATATTTCTTCAGTATTGATCGTTTATATAGAAATCATATCAAATTTTAAGTTGAAAGTTTGTAATTCAGTAAAAGATCGATGTTCGGGCTATATTATGATTGGGTAAGAAACACCACATCTTCTTTTTCTCATGACATTTCATATGTTTCCCTGCTTTTATGGCAACCATTATGCAAAGAGCAGGCCACACCAACTTAAGGCCTTCTATCAACTGAGCACGAATTATCTTAGAGGGTTTTAAAAAACGATAATATTGAATTTTTTTGCACAGTTTAAATCGAACATAACTTCTCTTTTCATTTGCTTATCTCCTCCGTGAGACTAAATTGCACTCAGCGCAGTTCAATTATCATCATTAATAACATGACAACGTAATTTTTCACCTGTGTTTAGTTATGTCCATCTTTCATTTTCTTACGGACGCAAGTGATTGTAGAAATAGGCTGCTCAGGTTGGTCGAGGATCGTTCATACATTTTTTTTTTTGGTTTATCTTTATTTTTGTCATCAACGTTTGGTATCTAATTACCTCCAGTATATTAAATGGGGTAAGTTTCTAAGGAAACTGTGGTGCTGCATCGGTGGGGGTTGTTTGGTTTTATCAACTAAGTTGATAATGTAAATTGGCCACCGTAAAGAGTTTCAAAGCTGACATTTCGAGCGTTAGCCCTTCGTCAGAGCAAATACAGGAATTTCGGGTTGTATGTGTGTGTTTATATGCAGAAAGCTGAGCTACACTTTTAGTGGGAATATGGTGACGAGAAAAAAGGATTGGTTGATATCTATGAGATTAAAAGTGCTGATTTGAAAGATAAACTTTTGTTCAAGAGTTTTGCGACTTTTCGAGCTACCTAAATAAAAGGAAAGGATGGACACTGCCATAATCTGCTTAGAATGATAAGGTAGATTAAAGTGTCTAGCGACTGCCTTTGATGTGTCCTTGTTATTCCCGTCTACGTCACGAAGGTGTTCTCTTAATCGGTCACCTAGTCGTCTTCCTGTTTCGCCAATGTACATCTTTTTACAATAAGTGCAAGTTATGCAATAGATGACAATAGCGGATGTGCACGAGAACTGATCAGTAATCTTAATGGATCGTTTGGGTCCCGATATTTTCACAACGTTGTGAATGAAAGGACAAGTTTTGCATTATACGTGCGCGAGCGCGTTTAAAAGTTCCGGGTTGGTCATTAGTTTCAAGTGAACTTCCAATTTACATTATTATCTGAGTTGATNTGATTATCATGTAACTTCTTTTTAACAAACAACTTTGAATTCAGAAATAGTTCTGATAATTTCCCTCTGACATTTCTAATTTGGAAGATTAATCATCATAATCATTATGTTCTTTCCACCTCCATAAACACCCAACATAAGTTCTTCGTTTATAATTCAGGCAGCTTCTGAATACAAGAAATCAAGTTTAGAATATAGTTGATTCATTCAAGGCTGTTGCAATATGAGAAAAGACAATACAGTGCTTTATTCACATAAATCGATTAAATTATATTATTATAATTATTTTACTTTACAGTACTTTGTTTTTTAAACATTTGTTTTTTTAAAAATTTGTTTTCTAGTAGTACCAAGATGGTAATGTTACTTTGTGAATCAGGGAGCTATATAGACCAGAAGTATTCTGTTAGCTTACTACATTTTATGTTGCAGATAGCAGTAAGTTAGTAAAGAAAGAAAAGAAAAAGCAAAAAGAAAGAAATAAAATAAAATGATTAGTGAGGGAAGAGCAGCATAAAAAAACACATACTACAAATTATTCATAATTGTCATGGGAAACAAAGACTTGTTGGGAAAGTAAATTATTGCTCAGAAAAAAAAATACAGCTTAGAGAAAAAAATTACAAACTAAGGTGGAAAGTGAAACTTAATTTATTACCATTACAATGGACATTTTGTACTTAAACATACCTCGGTTTATTCTTCCTCTAGTTGTGCCAATTTTTGTATTTTTGGGGGCTATGATACACACAATAACGACTGGGGATAGGGTGTCCGTGCAACACGGACATGTTTTGTCTTCTCAGCGAATCTGACCGGAATGCTGTTGACATGCCGATTTATACGGTTCAAGCCACTGCTTTACAAACCTGATGGTGCAGCGTCCTCGGCCATTCAAAAACCGTCTCATTTTTAGCCATAGTGCTTAATATGCTCTTCTATAAACAAAACTTAGTTGCCACGGAGCCGCCAATGAAAAACAACAATTTCATATCGTGTGCAAGTTCAGTTCGGCTTTGGCAAATTATATAATTGAGCTTGAGAACTATCCAAAAGGTGAACGGAGTTTCAAAGCTAATTTTACAGTATTCTTTCTAAGTTTTGCCTTTTTACGCTGTCGATTTGACTCACGTAGGAAGACCGAAACAGACTTGTCGCAGGAGTACTGACGCAGAGGTGAAGGCCATCGGAACAACATGGGCACAGCTGAAGAGGACCGCACAGAACCGAGTGCGTTGGAGGAATGTTGTTACGGCCATATATGTTCCTCAGGGGACCAAAAGGCTTAAGTCAGTAAGTCATACAATTCTTATTTTGTTAGTTTTCAGAATTAAGTATTGGATCAACTAATAATTCGTCAATTGATATTTTCATCTATTCTCATCACTTGTCTGTTTGATATTGTGTTGATATTGTAAGGAGAAATTCTGCCTTGATCACTCATGAGAGTTAAAGGGTTAATGGTCTGAATTTACCGAAAGAACTTGGTCCACTGCATTTGTAGACAGAGTTCATTTCAAGAATATCCGTTCAGATG